AAGCCCTACAATTGCTTTATTTCACACTGACTAATTGCAATACTAATTTACAGTCAAAAAACCACCTTACCTGAGGTCCTTTTGTCACCTTTATGTACCTATTTCTGCCATCATTTTGCAGTTCCAGSCCAGGCTAACTTGCACTGGTATATCCACTGTTATTCTTACAAAATTCTCTGTATTCTTACAAAATTCCTTTTCATCCAGGTTTTCCCCACACCTGGAACCAGGGRCCAGGTTTCTTCTAGGTTTGGAACAAGTTCTGTAGTACAGGAGTCAATATTACTTGTTTCTGGAAAAGATACCGGTTATTGCACATTAATTTTCACTTAACCTCAAGACCTTAAAAAAAAAAAGTGTGTATAAAATGTGCCTGCAAAGAAAGCAAAACCTTATTATTGGGACAGGGGATTAGAGGTGATGTGATGCATCGCTTCTTAGTTAAAAGCTTAAAAAAAATAATATAATCAGTAACCAAATGTTCAGTACATAAATTGAGGGCCCCTGTGCACATGAGGACTTGCACATGCACTTGCATTAGCCATTTTTTAATACACTTGAAAATCCAGAATTACAAATTCATAAAGCAATCCTGGTGAACCTGGAGTCCCAGGAACAGAACACAGACAAATTTTAGGTAGCAATCACTTTGAAAATATGGCTAAGTTTGGTTTTTTTTAAAAAACAAGTGCATTTATCCTCACTAAAGGCTAGTACAGGACTGATGACAAAATAATTACTGTTCTTCATATGTSTGACATTTAAACATCAAAGTGCTTTTCTTATAAAAGGCTCTGAAATAGAAACACCCATTATTTTGTGTTCTGTAAAATGTAACATGCAGCTGAAACTTGCCACTCCTCCCAGTTATGCAGGCATCGGTAACCCAGCAGTAATAACATTTATTTTGTTGTCTAATAGTTGCCTCTAGCAGTGACACCCACAGGGAGAAAGTTTTAGGAGATTAAATGATTAAACAAATCCTGCCACCACAGCTATGTGGGAGCAGGGATCTCATACGTGTGGAAAAAAAGACAAGGAGGCCACACAGAAAAGCTGCTGGAAGCCCAGGAGGCCAAGGTGCCCTGTGTTGTCCCAGGAATTTGGCAGTCCAGCCCTATTTCTTGGCTTCAGGTGTGAATTTACATAGTAAACTGCTGTCTCCTAGATATCTTGCAAGCATTCTGGGGTTTAATTTATCTCTTTTTATATTTTTTTTAAACCAARGAATCTTTCTCAAACCACAGCAGTTTGTTGTTGGGCCTCATTTCCAACCAACTTCTTTTTAAGAACCTGAAAAACAACAGATTCCTGAAAGAGCCATTGATTCAGTTYAGCCAGACCAGTACTTTTCAAAGCGTGAGGAAGGGGAGAGATCAAGCACCAGATATATGGAGGGGATCAGTTGGGAGCATGAGAAACCTCAGAAAAATCCCATCTAACCTATTTTGAGGAGATTAATAGCTGAGAGAGGAGTGGGATACTCAGACCAGTTTTGCCCTGGTTTGGGAACAATGGGTTTTGTYGGAAGAGATGGGCAGCAGTTATTACAGTTGGTACTGAGCGTGGGTTTTAGGAGCAGGAGCTTGGGAAAGCAAGGGAACGGGGAAAGCATGGCAAGGGAGGCCAGGAAAGCTGGGCACAAGGTAGAAGACAAGGTATGAGCACAAAATAACACAGAAGGTACAACTAAATATAAAAACCTGGAAACCTCAGGAACTTACCTTGTACTGCTTTCTTGGCAAAGCTTCTTTCTTCACTTCTGTAGTCTACCCAAGCAGACTGTGAAAATCCATCTGCTGTTGTTATTAAAAAAGGTTAAAGATGCTTGAGGGTCTGACTTCATCACAAATTCCAGAAACTTTCATCTGCAACCTTTAGAATCAGTGAGGTAGCACTTCAGTTCCAGGAAAGCTGGACTAAAAGCTGACCTTTTACTTCTTAAAAGCATATTTTTCTTTTTTTACGTTTTCAGGTCAATTTCTAAAGGAAACYTGTGCTTTCCAGGATTCTATTTATATTTCTATATGACTTTTTAGTATTATCAATTCATTTTAATGATTGGCCTTTGTTAAATTTGGTGCTAATTTCATTTTTCCTGCATTAGATTCATAATGTACATGAATCTGGCTATTTAAATAGTTTAATTTGCTGAGGATCAGACTGTGACTAAGTAGTGAGTTGTGTGAAGGCTGAATTCTACAGTGTTTGGGATGAAAAAGATCTATTTAAAATTTTTTCTTGCCTTAGGTAAGAGAAATATTCCTGTGTTAAACCAAAATTGGTTACTGACCCATAGTAAAAAAAACAAAAACAAAACCCAAACAACTCCCAGTCCAAAATAAAATTGCAAAATAAATGTTTCTTAAACAAATAATCTTTCTGGAACCGTTTTGTGATGTTAAATGGAAAACAGCATGGTTTCTTCAGCTAAAATAAGGGTGTCCCTGAGTTCCTGGAAACACCTGGGATCCTCTCGAATTGACTTGAATTGATCCCTGTTACAGCCTTCATCTCACCCYTTCAGCCTCTGGGCTCAGTGGAGAAGGGCAAACCCTCCCTGAACATTGATGTTCCTGTGCTGTGCTGGCAAAGAGCTGCCACTGTGCATGTCTTCTGGTGCTATAACCCCAAAAAATGAGATACCAGGGCCAGGTCAGACAGGTATTGCAGCAACCTGGTCTAGTGGAAGGTGTCCCTGTCCATGGCAGGGGGTTTGGTCTTTAAGGTCTTTTCCAACCCAAACCACTCTGCAATTCCATGAAACTGGTGGGGTTTGYCTGTGGGTCGTGCTGACCTCTGCCAGGGCAGCCCCCAAAGAACCACTCAGCCTGAGGTGGGCGAAGGGTTTGGGTGTGCGTGCAGGGGTCAGGTGGGCACAGGGGGTGCCAGGAACAGGTGCGGGGTGCCAGGAGCGGGTCCGGGGTGCCAGGAGCGGGTGCGGGGTGCCAGGAGCGGGTCCGGGGTGCCAGGAGTGGGTCCGGGGTGCCAGGAGGCAGCAGATGTGAATGCCTTTGTTGGCTGAGCGATGGAGGAGCTCCACCATCCCACGTCTCGTGTGGCAGCACAGCCCCTTTCCCCGCGGGACCCCCGCTTGCCCCGGGCAGCCCGCCGGACGCTCCTCCGGGGCGGGTGCTGAGCGAGCCCGCCCGGGGGCGCGGCGGCTCGGCGGGGCGGGCGGGCCCGGGCGGGGCGGTGCCGGGCGGGCTCTGGGCTCTGGGCTCGGCTCGGGCCGGGCACACGGCCGGCGGGCCGGGAGGAAGCGCCGGCACTTCCTCCGGGGGAGGCCGGCCCGGGGGCGGTGCGCGCCCCGCGGGGAGCGCGGCGAGGCGGCCGCACACGGCGCGGAGGAGGCGATGCGGGCCGTCTGGGTGCTGCTGCCGGCGCTGGCCGCCCTGTCCGCCTACTATGTGTACCTGCCGCTGCCCGGCGCCGTGTCCGACCCCTGGAAGCTGATGCTGCTGGATGCCGCCTTCCGGGCGGCGCAGCAGACGGTAAGGCGGCCCCGGCACCGCGGTCTGGGGAGGCGGGCGGGCACCGGAGGCGCTCGGGAGCGCGGCCGCGGTGACGGTGCTCGCCCCGGGCATCCCGCATGCRGGAGGAGAAGCGTTCTCGGGTCCCGGTGTAACGCCCTGGCTCCGCGGCGAGAGCGGCARCACCGGGCGGGGCAGCCCCGGGTGTCGCCGCTGTCTGTCCGTCCGTCCGTCCGTCCCTCCGGCTCCCGGCACAGCCGCACCGCATGGGGCTCGGTCTGGTGTGCGGCTTGCRGGCTTTTGGTCAGGAAAAAGGAATTAGTGGGATTTAATCTGATCCGTTATGTATGCCTTAGGGGAAGAAAACATATGAATYTCTTTTAAGTATGAAACTGTCTTGATTAGTAATCTTATTACTAAAGAAAACGGAATTSTTGCTTTTTGTCACAAAGCAGTTGTTGCTTACTGATTTCTCCCATATTTTCTGCTAGTGTTTTTATGCTGACATGAAACAACAGAGATGGCAAAWTTTCTGATAATGGCTTTAGTAGTGAAGTTTGTTTTCTTCTAGGATTATTTGATCTTTCACAAGGACTGATCAGTCATGGTCAAGACTGGTATAAGGCACTATGTATGTGAAAGTAGAAAGTTATGTTTTTTACTTCAGTTGCTTTCTTTTTAATTGCAGTTTACTGTGTTGCTTTGAAATATGCAAAAGCTTGTAATTTGAGCAGATGATGATCCTTTCAAAACGGGATTAAATGAGTTAATGGACAGAGGGCTCATAAATGGACTAGGTGGGAATGTACCTGCTACGTTCTTGGTGCAATAACAGTGGGTAGTGGGAAAGATGAGGATAGTGGACCACGCAGTGTCCAAACTTGGATATTCTGCCTGAATAGCTTCTCTGGTTGCCACTCTGTCTCTGTTGGAGACAGAGGCTGTGACTACATGGATCACTCGGATCTTCCAGTCCACCTGAATAGCTGAATCAAAGCATGCCTCAAATTCAAGGCATGCTCAATGAAAGGATGAAACAATAAAACCTGGTCACTTCACCCTCTTGTATGTCTGACAGAAAATTATGCAATACGATAGCTTAATTCTAAAATTAGAGTAAAATCTATGGCTTGACATTCATTGGCTCTGTGTTTTTAACTCAAGTAACTGAATGCAGGTGCTCAGCTTGCCCAAATTYATTGGGAAGTAGGGACAGAAGGGCCATAGTACATGCCAGCATACACTGCCAAATCACAGTGTCATGGTTTGCCAGGAGCACCTGCATCAAGAACTTCTGGTTGAAGGAGACCTATCTTTAAAAAAATGCATGACTGTAACTATGTATATTTATGTTGCTCAGGTACACATTCAGTCTGTTTATGTGGGATGTTGGGCAAAGCTGCATTCTGTTGCCTTTAGCTTGAAGGCTGAAGAGTATCTCAAAATTTTGAGGTGGCCTAGRGGTCATAATGCCAGGAGGAGCTGGGAGAACAAAGCCTGGTGGGTGGCTGCTGAGCAGGCTGGTGGCAGGGCTGAGGTGCCCACATCTGCCCCTCTGTGGGGCAGGGAAGTCTGTGTTGGGGAAAGGGGTAATTTCTTAGYTGTTTGCATCTCTGGCCTTAGAAATAAAAACTTCCATGGTGAGATAAACTACTAAGTGTGTAACAGCTCCTGTAACATTGCTTGCAAACTGAAGGGAAAAACGAGTTTTACACAGAAGCATAAAGAATGTGCGTTGTTAGAGCTGCCCCATCACACAACAGGTGAGCCTTGGGGCATTTGTTGGAACTCAGCTTCCTCTTTCTTTCTCAGTCAGCTATTTCAAGGCCAAATGGTTTAACATTTCTCTGAGTGTGACTGTTGAACTTTCACCCACTTTTGAATGTATTTCAGCTTGCTGTTTATTCCTTTGCTTTATAAGTTTGATAGCAGACAGAAGCACCTTCTAATTTTAAAATCTCTGAAACTTACTTTCCCCCCACWAAYTTCAYGTGCTTCAAATATAATTAATTGTCTTTTGCTTATTTTGAAATAGATTTGTCAACACTCRGATGACTAAGTGTGACCATTTCTTGTTAGGGATAATGTGTTTGTTTGCTCAATTCATTAATAATCACTGTGAATAAAACACAATAGCGTTGTCACTGGCTTTCAGCGTACTAATGATAAGGTTTTTACATCTGSATGTAGAGTTTTGTCCCAGTCAGCTACAAATTTCTTTACAAGCTTGGGACTGAGTCAGTGTCCTGGCTCAGTGTGAGACTCCAACAAACGTTCAAACCTAATCACATGATTAAAAAGTGCATGATGCTTATAAGGCAGTTTCTCTGGGTAGGTTTCAAAACTTACTACGGAAGGGAACTGATACTGTTATCCTAGTCTTAAACTGGGGCAACAGAGATAGGAAAAGATGGAGTGCTTATCTCAGGTCACAAAAATTCCAGTGAAGGAGATGAAAACTGAGATGACTTTTCAGAGCCTTGTTCCCGCGCCTTCTTTCATGCCTGCTGCTGCCCAGAAAAAAAAAACAGAGAAACTAAGTCTTTAATTATATTAATGAATTGACGTGAAAATGCTTACCTGAGAAAGAGTAATTTTCCCCTCACCTGTTTCAAAATGGAGCATGGTAACAATTTTACATAAAACTGTGATATAACACAATTTGAGATCAGAAATTAAAAATTTATATATACATATAAATATGTATTCAGGTACATCAGAACTAATTTTCCCTGAAATTGGGAAGCCACCTGAAGGTTATTGTGGGATTGAGCCATAGATGTAACCATAGTTATTTTTTCAGTTGATGTCTGTTTAGAAGTGAACATTTCGTAATTCTGCTGTAACAGCGGTATTGATAACAGGTTTTTTTCACTTCTTCTTCTAAGCACTCTCCCTTAGAGGAGGAAAGAGAGCAGCACATGTTTATTCAAGTCCTTTGAAATCAGTTATTTCTGAACACTGCTGTCAAGACACTTACTATTCTGGTGCATGGCAAGGAAGAAGGGATTTTTTTTGGAATTGGGACAGCTGTTTGGAAGGATAAMTGGGTTGGCATAGAGGCCATCAGATAGACGTATATGGAAGAAGGTAGGCAGCTGTACAGGGCAGAAAACTCCTCATCAGCCAAGTGTTTCCTTTGTGCTTCTTTTCCAATCACTCCCTTTTGGAATAAAATCAGCCATGGGATATCAACATTCAGGAGCAAAGAGAACTGTTTTAACATTTTCATTTCTCTCTGTCCACGTATTTCGGAGGTTTTGACTTCTGGACAGATGTAAATCATCACTGTAGCCAGTGAAGTAAGTTGTTGATGTTTTTGAATTCAAGARCAGTCTTAGAATTGATTTATAGTAAAACAGGATTTTAGCCATGGCAGGTAGGTCTCACAGCACTGGCACCTGAGCAGAAACTGAACCAACTGAACCACCAAAAATCCTGTTTGCAGGAATGGGTAACTTTTGTCGCTATAAAAGCAGATAATTGTGGTTGAATAGGTATGTGCACAAAACCTTACATAAAAATGTAATCTAGATTTTTGTTTCTAATTATTAAGCTGAAAAACAGTCTTCCTATTTTCTTTCCAGTTCCATAGGAAATTCATAAAATTAAGAGCACTTGTCTTTGACAACTGTCTTTATCTAATAGTGTTAAAAGGACATGTTCTTTACTGGGCAACAGGACACTTGCACTGAGAAATAATTTTGTAAAATCACCCTTAAACAGGGTAAGCTGCCCGAAATGCACACAAAACAGTATATTCCACACACAGTTAAATGGGGATATGCTCCTGTTGATTTTTCTCTAATCTGTAACTCACTACAGACATTGTCATTGCCATTTCAGCCTCCAGTGTTTATAGAAGTAGGGACAGAAAATTTTTTTGTTTTTGTTTTTGTTTTTCAAAGCAATGTCAGAACTGACGATAGCATCTGCGTATTTTAAGGTAGGAAGATGAGTTTTAGACAGTTGAGCCTTGCAGTTGCAGCATCATTGCTCAGTTGAGTCATGAGTGAGATTTGGCTCAGTCCCAAGTAGTGCTGGATGTTAAGAGCCCTTTGCGAAGTTGCTGATTGCACCAAAGCCTGAAAGCCCAGGGCAGGACCTTGGTTGTGCCCGGCTGGGAGGGCACTGGGGACAGCAGCTGATGCCTCTGGACCATCTGGGGTTGCTTTTGTGTGCTGCAATAATTCTGTGGCTAAAGGTCAGAGCCAGGGTTAGCCAGGGGAGCCATCTGAGGACAGAGTCCCAGTGTGCTGAGTAGCATTAGGGGTTGCTGGACATTAGCAACAGAAACTTTTGGGTTACTTTTTTGCAATACAGAATGCATGACGATTGTGAAATYCAAGTCCTTGGGGTAGGTGGGGTTGTCCATTAAATTACCAGCTGAGGAGCCAATAATAGAATCTGTATAATTTAGGGACAGATATTGGTGATTAAAGGTGAAGTAGTGGTGCCTGTTTTCAAGTGGTTACAGCAGTTTGTTCATTCTGCTCACTTTTTATCACAGCMCTAACTCTTTTCTKCATTTACTGMAAAATTTCTCCTACATCAATKAAATCTTTCAGTATCTGGTACCCMTTATCAAAGAATTTACCAGAAGGARGGTATCAGTCTTGAACARTTCAGTCTCTAGGGAGTCCCTGCATAGTCCTTACCCTAGAATCTCRATATGGGAATGTCTTGGTGAAAGAGAAGGAGTTCTTGCTGCAGAGGGAAAAGTTGCAGCTGTGACTCAGAGTGAGCAATGTGCCAGCCACTCTCTGGGCCAGTTGCCCACAGGCTTTTCGTCTTCATACTATCTCCTCTTTCTTTCCAGTAGTCTCTTTACTTCCTTCTTTTCCTTATGTTTTCTTTTCCTTTTCACTAGCTCTTAGTATTGCAGCACTGTCTGCTCTCTCTTTTCGCCAGAGATCATCACCATTTTTGACAAGGCACTCCTAGAGGAGAGTTGGCCAACCACATCTTCTGCCAGGAGTATTACTACAGACTGTTAAGATATTATATATATTATTTTAATATTTAGAGAGAGGAAAAGAAAAAGGTTTATTTGTGAGAACTTTGGACAAGATTGGCTCTTCGCCAGCAACAGGTGCAATGTCTTGTAAATGACAAATCAAAAGGCTGATTAGGCAGATTGGCTTACAGAGAATCTATCTGATAAATGCTTGGCAAAAAGCTGCCTATGTCTGACAAATAATTAGGACTGTTGCCTTTGTGCCCTGATGTAGAAAGCTTCTCTTCCAGATTTACAGATTCTTGGAAAGAGTGGTCAATTATAGGGAAAATAAGCATGAAAGAGCACGTTAGCCTGTAGATGGCCAGGGTGCTCTGTGGTTTGAAGAACAGAGCAAAACAGTTCTTGGTAAATACCACTAACTAGCCTTGAAAACAAAACATTCCTGATTCCAGGGAACATGTGGTAATCTTGTCTACRAAGAATGCAAACTAAAGTGGGAGAAAACAAAAAGGAGATGTCTGTTGCAGTGCAGTCAGGCTAAAAAAAAAATCTACAAAAATGTTATTTTCTTTAGCAATATATCTAAAACTGCTTCCCAGTGGTTACCTCCCCTGGGAATTTCCAGGGGGCACAGAGGGGATTGGACCTTTATGTGGTTACATCAGWGGCAGCCCAACAAATTGTGTGCCAAATTATTTATAGAACTATTGCTCTTCAGATTTCAAACTAGTCCTGGGCTTTCCTGTGGGAATTTTAAGTAACGGTGGGAGAAAAGCATGGGCTGAAACTCAGAGATAAAAACAGCCTTGTGAATTCAGCATTTCTTCCTKCTGGGTGGATATTTTGTGTTTCTTCTCCCAGTGAAAAGACTTGCAGTATGAAGAAATGATATCCCATCCAAAAAGCAGCAAATGTTTTAAAATTTGGATTCCTACCAAACCATCTCAGCAGGGTGATGTTACCGCAAGTTAAAGTAAAAAAAGAAAGTAATTTTTGTAAATCCTTGTTTTGGAACTGGATTCCTCTCCTAGGTCACATAACATTGTATTTGGCTTCAATTTTTGGGATTTTTTAAAAATATCAAACGTGTCTTTTTTTCTACAGCAATTTCCCATATCTAGGGGCTGTGCAGAGCCTTTTCTGTACAGCAACTGAATGAAAGCAAATATTTAATTTTTTTAACATTCAAACTAATTAGGAAAGATTAAAAAAAATTACATGTAAGAGGTTGTGGATGTAAGAGACAGGAGTGCCTTGAATCCCAGYACTGTTTGCTGAGAGAAACAGGTTTCTGATCGAGACAGGGCAGAATTTTAAAAATAAACATGGAAAGAAAAGTCCTGGATAGCCAAAGGGGATAAAATCTCTCAGAAGGATAAGATCATTCTTCAATTTCATAGTKCTTTGCTCTCATAAAGATGTAACACGCTTGAGTGTCTGGGGTTGAGAGAAAGTATCCTTAACCTACTGTTATTCTTGGCTAGTGTTTCAAATCTTTCCCAACTCAGCAGGTAAAYGCAGGACAAGCCAAAAATCACCATTTTATTCCTTTAAGACTATTCCTGTTTCCAAWTTTTTTTGCAGTCCTTGGGAACTTTTCTTAATTTGGAAGTAGAAGAAAGTACGCTTTGGGGTGGAACAAGGAAAATAAYCTGCATTTTTGATACTTTTCCACCAAAAAGCATCGCCTGTGTGGTATTGCCCTCTGCTGGCTCCAGTCTGAGGAGTTTCACAGGTCCCCTTGTGGAACATGAGGTTTGTCCCCTTCCAAGGTGTCTCTATCAGAGGATCCAAGTGCTCGTTCGTGGATGTGATCAAGGAAGTGCTTGTGGTTTGATTATTTGTGACCACAGAAAATGTTTTATGGACAGTGTTTTGTTTTAATACAACTCTAAAAGCATTAAAGGTTCGTGATACTATTTAATTTACCAGTGAATAGTGTAAGAATTGTGTAGGACCCCCTCCTTTGAAGGCAGTTGCATTAAACATTGTGGCAGTGTATGATATGCTCTGAAGTAACAGAAATCTCTTTTCTTTTTCTTTTCCCCTTACTAGTGTCACCTGATTCACTATCTGAAACTCAGCCATCACTTGATAGTCCTGAATTATCTGATTTGCACCTTTGACAAGCTGAAGTCTGTCTCCTCCGAAGACATTAAAATCTCGGATGCTGTTTTTGACGGTGTGGAAGTGCGAGTGTTTGAACCTCCTGCCAAGGGAGATGAAAGCCTCAAGCGCAGCGTTGTTTACATCCACGGAGGGGGCTGGGCCCTGGCGAGTGCAAGTAGGTGTCTGCCAGTAATTAAACAAGGTTCCAGGCTGCTTTTCTCCTGGCAGGAAAAGCCAAAAGCTCTTTTTCCTGCCAGGAATGACAATTTTGCTAAGATGTACCTGAATTCAGTATTAACTGTCTTCACTCTGGTGGATCGGGTCTAAGGAGAGAAGGAGAATAATAKGAACACACAGCAGAAGTGCTTATCTTATCTGCATGTGAGCTGCAAAAGGACCAAAAGGTTAATTTTGTTACATCCTGCAAGGAAACAATAGCTTGTTGATTGAAATGCTGGATGTCTGGGTGGGCTTGGGCCAATCCCCCACTTTCTGAGGTAATGTGCTGAAGTCCATCCTTGGTGATGAAGATCCAGTGGCTACCTGTAAGGAAATTACATGGGTTTGCCCCATTTTCAAAGAATAATTAGCAGTAGAGTGACCTGATCCACACTGCATGTAACAGCCTTGCCAGTGTTTGGTTGTTAARTAACACCTACCTGGGAATACACACTGCTGGGCACAGACAGGGGCAGTGTGAGGGAAACAGGTACAGGCTGGTTCCTCTAAGGTTTGCTCCTTAGGGAATACAACCACCACTATCATAATTACTGTAAAATTAGTTCTGTTTACTCCAATTAATTTGGAAACCACAAATACGATCAGAAGAAGTGAGGTAGTTATAGGCAGTGATAAGGAAACCACTGATTCCTTCCACATCATACAGGGGAGAATCAGCCTTRGGAGGAGAAAACACGTGTGGTTCCTGTGGCTGCTCTGACATCCAGAGGAGAGGATCCAGAAGGCTCTGAGAGCATAACCTCCTGTTTGTTAACCTCCTGCCTGCATCATTTGTTCTGTAATAGCTGGCATATGACTGTGTGCAAAAAGTTTATTTTAAATTTCTGCACTTTGTCACGATGATTATATCTCGGTTGTGTCAGATGTATCCCTGATCCTGAGGTGCAAAATTTAATGACACAATTGCTGCACCTAAATATAAACTTCTAATGCTGGACACTTAAAACATTTAGTGTCCTAGTATATTTTGTAGTACCAGGAGCCAACGATTAAGCAACTGGAAAGGAACAAAATTAAAGATAATCAGTCTTCTGATAAATAGGATAGCTGTGATTAATCCTCCCTTGAATGAGTACTCAGCTGACATTATTAGGGCAACTCATTTGAGTCAAAGCAATKCACAATTATAATAAAATGTACCACGGGCAGTGACTCAGGCAGGTGTAACTCTCTCTGGATGTTAATGCCCCCAAACCACTGGGTACCTTAAGTTTTGCCCAGAGGAGAGAATTGTGGTAGGTGGGCGAAATGATGTCTGAAATCATCAACAGGAAGGAAGCATTAGATTGCAAGGCTTCTCAAACTGCTTATATTTGTGTGGTGGCTGTATGTTTTCTGGGAARGCTTGGGTACAGCTTTCTGGCTATTGACTCACGTGTCCCTAACATCRTGTCCTTCCCTTCCAGGAACAAGCCTTTACAACAATCTCTGCAGAATCATGGCTGAATCTCTGAATGCTGTTGTTGTCTCCGTTGAGTAAGTAATCTAAAACTGATCAGGTAGTTTCTAGGTATTAGAAATAGGTAATATGGTTATTTTAGTTTCACCTCTGCTAGTGACTTCTGTGTAAGGCTTTAGCTTGGACAGTGATTCTCAATCCCAGTCTGATACCTTTATCCTTTTAAAATTGGAATAGTATCAGAAATTCATTTGGGTTTCTAATTATTTTAGAATACACTGTGGGGTCTGGCAGTTTCCTGCTGCTCTCACAATSTCCCACTGTTCCAGTCATCTCTTTCAAGCCTTGTGTTTCCCTCAAGAGTAGAGGACTGCCAGACAACAGAGAAGCAGGGCTGCTTTTTGAACATGTTGAACAATTCCAATGCAAACAAACCTCTTGACTAGCTAAATGCATTACCTAGATGACTCCAGCTTGATTGGTACTGTTCCCATCTTTATTGTCAACTTCAATATTTGCTTTTGCAAACCAAATCACTTGATAAAATTACTCAAGTTTCCCACCTGCAGTTCATTACATACCAAGCTTTGGGATCTAATTGCAACTTAATTATATGGAGTTGATGTTACTCATTTAATGCTTATTATAGTGTACTTTAAAGGGTTGGGGGATGTTGGTGTTYGGTTTTTACTGTTTTGTTTTCTATTGGTAGAAACAAGGAAAACTACAAAAGCAGGTGTTGGTTATTCCATACAAGCAGCAATCACAATATTGAAAAGTTCCTTATTATTCATTTTCTGATTTATGTTGGTTTAATTCTGCCTTTTGCCCTGAGTACTATTTACCTCTTCTCCTTAACCATTAAATCCTTCAATCAAGGTGTTCATACTCAATTAGTCAAGTCTAATTAGATTCCTCATTGATCTAATTGCACATCTCACTTTCACAATCTATGCACAGTCTCTTACACAGTTTTGCAAGGAGTTCCCAAAAGGCAAAAGGACACTCTCATATTCCTGTAGATACAAGATATATAGGTTGCTTTCTGACAGCAGGGCACAACTGGAGTTTGAAAGTTGTAATCTTAAATTTAAAATTTATTCTGCTTGTGAAACTTCTTTAGCTTACAGTCTAAAGAAGATGTTTTGAATCAGAAAACTGAATTTTGGATTGGTTGGCTCTACTGCAAATGTGGAAAGTCTGTAATTTGAAAAGCTACAACTCTGGGATTTCCAATTATTCAGTAAATACAAATAGATTCCTGAGAAGATGAGGAAAYCTCATGTCTGGGGTTCAGCTGCTGCCTCTTCCTGGAAGATTGCTTGTTCCCTCTGTGCCTCCATCTCCCCACCCACCCAAGGCGGGTATTTCTGCTCCTCTCCTTGATAAAGGAAAGGAATTATTGAATCTGCTGCTTTGGAGCAAATTGGCATTACTTAATTTCTCAGCTATTGTTCATTTTAGGGTACAGGGGATAACAAGATTCGTTCTCTCCTGACACCAGTAAAATTTTGGGAAGCAGAATTGCTTAGGTTTTTGGCTCAAGAATGTGTTGGATGTATGTGATTTACTCTCCCTGGTACTTGTTAAGGTGGGAATTTGGATCAAAACCAGGCAGAATGTGATGACTCCCTTGCCAAGGGTGTTTTCACTATTTATTTTTATAATGTGTGATGAAATCCTCTATTGAGAAATACTGGGAAAGTGCTGCACAAATTTATACTCTCTTGGTATTACTCATGTTTATTAGGTTCATTTTAATTTTTCCAAATTAGAACATTAATTATAAGATTAAGTCTTAACTAAGTATTACACACCTACTTTTCCCGTAGTATTTATCCTAATGAAATAACTTCCAGTAAGAGTTATCTGGTATCTCTAAATCCTAAAGGAGAGGTACARTGAGGGAGAGGTAAGAATTGTTTCTCATCCCTTTTCTTTTGCAGATACAGGCTGGTGCCCGAGGTGTGTTTCCCTGAGCAGTACCACGATGCTCTTCGTGCCACGAAGCATTTCCTGCAGCCTGATGTCCTGGCTGAGTATTCAGTGGACCCCAGTCGAATTGCMATCTCTGGGGACAGTGCAGGGGGGAATCTGGCAGCTGCTGTGTGCCAGCAGGTAACAACCACTGTGTGTTTTGTATTGCCCCACAACAGCCCAGCTCGGAGAGGCTGGCAGGTTCTTGGTGCTGAGTGGCAGAAAGCCAGAATCTGCTCATTTTTCTTCTGTAAAGTGACTCAGTCACTGCATGAATCACATAGGTTGTGGTGTGTTATTACAGTCACAAGTTGTTGTGGAYCAGAGTTTTAAGAGCAAGTAGCTAAATGACTTTTTTTTTTTACTCATTTTATGGGTATGCCTATTTTTCCAAGTAGGCATAATATATTAATATGGTTTCCTATTTTTAGATAATTGTCTCTGGAAATATGCTTTTATTTCTTTCAAATACAAATGAATGACAAAAAATATAGTAAATGGAGCTTTAATTCTTCTGTTAAATTGCCTTCCTGTAGCATTTTGAAATTTTAAGGAAATTTCTTTTGTGTATCTGCAGTTTAAATGTAATCTGAATTTGATCTAGTAAAGAGTCTAAAGGAAGCCTGAGGCAAGTAATAATACTTTTCATGGTTGAATGAAATATTATTATTACTAACTTATTCCTATTGCCATAACCATTAGTGATAAGAAAGCAGATACCATGTGCAGACAACTAATTATCCATGACAACCTTGCAGTATTGAATTAGGGTGAAAATATTAATAAGAGACAATTACAATAAAAGTTTCAATATTGAGGACTGATAAACATGATAATACTGTGTTTTGGGAAAAGCATCCCTAATTCGATTTCCTCATGCATAATTCTATTTAAACAAGATGAGACATGATAGAGCACTGAGGATCTTGGRTAGAAGATGAAACAAAGAGTTTGCTGATTCTTCCTGTAAGCAGTCAGGGGGCACCAAATGTATAATTGATAGACTCAGATTAAATTCAGGTCGAGTGAGACACAGGGAGATGCTTCTGCACCAGGTGAGCCTTCGTTAGAAGAAATTGTGGGTGCCAGCAGTGTACACTGGCTGAAAAAAAAACACAATTAGATCAATTCGTGGAAGACAAGTCCATGAAAAGCTCTTAAAAGCAAGAGCAGCTCCTTTGATTCAGGAGATCCTTCCTTTGCCACTTGTTCAGTTGGGCACTGGGTTAAGGAAATACCACTTTACACGTTTTTTTCTTCTTAATCCTTTCAATAAACGTCTGTCACTGATTTCTGTTGGGAACAGGATACTGGGTCTGTGTGAATGGCCACCTTACGAGAGGGTAATAAGATCAGGCTGCTGATACTTCAGACAAAACAGCCACATTACCTGCATAAGAGCAGAATTCCCTCTAAAATTGCCAAATGAATGTTTGCTTTTCTGTAGTTCCACACTGATATATGGTGGTTTTCTTTGTGATTTTCAATCCTGTTCTGCATTCTTTGCACAGCTCAGCAAAGAGGAGGATTTGGCCGTCAGACCAAAACTGCAGGCCTTGATTTATCCGGTGCTGCAGGCGTTCGATTTCAACACCCCTTCCTACCAGCAGAACATGAACATGCCCGTGCTGCCTCGCTTCGTCATGATCAACTACTGGATCTATTACTTGAACGGCAACAGCGAGCTGGCTCCCGAGCTGCTGATCAACAACCACACCGCGCTCAACGTCGGCCGCGCTCTGTCCTTCCGGCCGCGCCTCAACTGGACGTCCCTGCTGCCGCCGTCCTTCAAGAAGAGCTACAAGCCGGTGGTGCAGAGCGCGGGCACGGCGGCCATCGTGGAGCAGCTGCCGGCCCTGCTGGACGTGCGGGCGGCGCCGCTGCTGGCGGACGACGCGACGCTGGCGCGGCAGCCGCGCACCTACGTGCTGACCTGCGAGAACGACGTGCTGCGCGACGACGGCGCCATGTACGCCAAGCGCCTGGAGCGCGCCGGCGTGCCCGTCACCCTCGACCACTTCCACGACTGCTTCCACGGCTGCATGATCTTCACCGTGTGGCCCACGGATTTCTCCGCCGGAGTCCAGACCAGGAACAGCTACATCAAGTGGCTGGATGAGAACCTCTGAAGGGAGGGCTCCGTTGGAAGGTGTGGGATAGAAGAGCCAACGATCCAAAAGTGCACTTTTCCGAATGCTGACTTCGCCATTCAGCTGCAGCTGCTGGGGGTACTGACCACTGTCTGCAGCATTTTCTAGCTCCATTGGTCTTGCCCCATAAAGTATTTTGAGAAGTATTTTTTCCAACTTCGATTTTTTTTTTTTTTCCAACTTCTCCCAGATGACTGTTGAGCCAAATATGGACACGTGTTGAGCAGGGGGATCAGCATTCCGGCGGGATTCTTAACTGGCTGCAACTTTTAAGCTTTGACTCTTAATTAGGTACAAAGGCCCTGGCTTACAAGTGATGTGAGATAAAGCCTAACACCTACATCTACTTCTGAGAATGTAAAAGCCTGAGCTTGTTTACAACAGTGTTGAGCACCTGATGTAAGAGGGAGAACACTCAGGGCTATTTGAATAACAAGCATGGATTTAGGTGTTGGCTTTTTGGCACAGACAAAGGATTCATTKAAATATTTAAAAATATTTTTTAAAAAAGGTCATCTAGAMAGTTAAAATTATGCTGGACAAGTCTCTTAGCCAAACCTGTAATTCAGTTTAGGAATTTGGTCTTTACTACCTTCTAAATATTTATATTTTTTAAAAGTAYAGGATTAAATATATTTTGAATAAAAAGTATAATAGCATACACACATATATGTAAGATAAAGTATTATGTGTAGCAGCAGAATCTGGGTTTCTTATGTGAGTGACCTTCAAAGCTGACTACTGATTTGGCTAAAGAATGTGACTTCATCTATATTTAAAGCCTCAGTTTCTCCTTACAGAAAATACTGACCTTACTATAAATAATCTGCTGTGTGGTTTGCACTAATGTTTGTAATTAATAGTAGAAGTTTTTGTTCATTGACTTTTCTTTTGTGCTTGTAGTGTTTATTGTATTCCCTGCTTCTTGAAAGGAGGGAAGCMAGTGAATGGAAGTGGGCTCCAATCTATACAGAAGATTTAAATTTGAGCTTTGCAACTGAACTCTGTTTGTCTTGCAGACTGATCCAAAACTCTAGGTAAGGTGATCTCTCTACWGGGCCGCAAAGCTGTGCAGTTTGAGCCAGCCTGTAAAGTTCAGACAGGTGGGACAAGGGAGTGAAACCACTTTGTGACAGTGTCTGTTGTCCAGGTTGCTCACAGCTTGCAGAAATGAAGGTGGTGTCATAAGCACAGAGGAGAGAGTGGGAGATCAAATTCATCCTCAGCTTTACCACAGACTTCCTGTGGGACCCCAGGAGAGCAGCATCATCTCCTTATGCCCCACTTGTGCAGGGGAGGGAGCAGTGATTTCCTCCCTCACAGAGGAGCTGTGGGGCTGAGTTCTCCAGCCTGGGTGAAGCACACGGATGTGAATGTGACTGCAGGCACTCAACAGCTCCATGGCTTTTGACTTTCCATCCTTCTGCAAGGGCTGGCTCTGATCAGCCTGTCCCACGTGGGGAATGCTGCTGGGCTCGGGTCCTGCTGAGCAGTTGGTTCCCCTCTGTCCTGGYTCCTGTCAGGAACCCTGAGGCGAGGATTCTTGGTCCTTGGAGATCATGACAAAGGCAGTTTCATTAAAGCATGCCTTATGGCAGGATTCTGAAAAGCTCTTCAAAAAAACCCATCAGGTACTGGTAGACCAGTACTGCCTTCTGACATTTGAAATATATACAGAAGAGTCCACTGTCACTGGGATTTAAATGAAATAGGAGAATGGCCTTGCTCAATCACCACTTCCTAGAAACACCAGGTTGTTAACGGGGTTGTGTGCATTAAGAAAAGCCATTAACGAGGCAAGGGCTGGATGTCAGCTCAGTCATGCAGACCAAMACTMATTCCCAGCACAGTTCACACYGAGATCACAGGGCAAAGCTTTTTCMATAGTGGCCCAGATTCTTCTTCCATTTAGCATTTACAAAGACKCAGTGGAATTAGAGCAGCCAAGTGACAATGTGAATCAGAATAAATTTTGATCAAGAAACCCAATTAACACTGCAGAGRAATTCAAACCTTTTGTCTGTATTTAAATTCTTTMCTCMTTTTTCCCGTAAATACAACTYCAGTAGATAGATTGTATGCTTGAAACAGACACGAACCAAAATTRTGTCTGTTCAAAAGACATAACTAATCTGGTCCAGAGTCCCTTCCCTTAGTATGGAGACTGTTACATTTACCTGACTTTAAACTATGAGTAAAATAGTAAAAAAAAAATCACTATACTGAGTTATAACAACAGGCTTCCTGAATTTCCCACTAAAAGACTAAACCCAYGTCAGAAAAGATGTAATTTATATCTACTCACTGTCATTAAAAGATAATATAACTGTAGTACTGGAAAAAAAAGTGTTTAATATTCATATAAATCCTATCATAATTAAGTTTTCCTGAAAGCTTTCTGCAAAGCTTTAGCGCAGCATTTGTTTATAGCTAAGTTATAAATATCTGTTATGAACCTAAACTGTAATTGCTGCTGGTTTTTTTAACTGAAATGAAAGGGAGAGCTGGAATATATTTATATATATTCATGGAGTCGGTTGTAAATTTCCTTCATGCACTGAAGCACATTAAAGTCTTGGCACAAGGAATGGTAGTAAGTTTATAACTGGAGTGGCCGTGTTTACGAAGCCCTCAGCAGCCTGGTGTGCTGTCTGAGATTTCAGCACCACGTGGAATGATGCACATAATTAACTCATTCTGTCAGAGCATCTGCACTGCTCTGATCTCACAGCTCTGGGGTTTGATATCTGACAGCTGCAGAGACACGTGAGGAATCCTACAACATGGAAAACAGGTCTGAGTCCCAGCTCCAAAAAAACCTTTAGTACATAGCCGCACAAGACACTGATCAAACTCAGCGTAAACCTTTAGTAAGTGTTAGTCCAACCCCAGCTTTCCTCCTCTGCTTTGTCCTCCTTTGCAYACCCTCCCTGTGCCCCAAATTGAAAGGTTTGTGTTGTTAAAAGCTGCTAGGAAGGGATTCAGGGTTACAGAAAGCAGGTGCCTGACAGCAAGGGATTAAGATTGATCCATGTTACAACACCTGGATTTGTTCCTGTGTTTTCCTACATCTCCAAGTGTTTCCTCGGGCRTGTCTTGCACCTTTGTCCCTTGGTTGTGTCACAAAGCAGTTTAGGGCACTTTGCACGTTGCAGGATCAGACCAAGTGTTTGTAGCAATATTTCACCTGTGCACGGCAGAGTCTTCTCTGGAGGAGACACTCAATAAGTTTGTCTTTTTATCTTTTCCTTAAATCARTGAGCATGGCTATATACCTTTTGTAGGTAGCTTTCCTTCCCCTTCTACAAGTAGACTTTATCCCTCTGTTGCAAAAATACCTTGTTCCTGATGGCCATCAAAGCATTCAAATCAAAGCTTTTTATTTTTTTTAAAAAAAGCAAAAATAGCAAAATCAGCTTGCATAACAGAACGTATAGGCATTCATATCCTGCTTTTGTAGACCTGAGAACTCTATTAGTAGGTCCTCAGTTTCTGGCTAATATTTGCAGGAATAAATGAAAATTTTGTCTCCCTAGCTGAGAACCTCTTAAAAGATGGTTTTCAACATTTCTGGAAGCCAAGACCTCTTTCAAGAGGTTTCATGATGCATAAAAATAACAAAAAAGTTGAATTTCCTAACCTTCATCTAAGTAATTTCAAAATTGCATTCCCAGCCAAAATAGAAAGGTCRTGWGTTTTAAGACCTACAAACTAAATAGAAATGCTTTACTTTTAAAGCACTATTTTGTAGTCTTTGGGCCTCTTACATTTTTTTGATATCTTACCTAACTTTACTAGAAACTTTTAAAAATAAAAATATTGGAAGRAGATAAACTTGAGCTAAACCTTTTAAGCTGCTATGATCTGTAACAATGATGTTAAAAAAACCCAGCTGGTTTAATGTTCTCATATTTATGATGTTCAAACCCCAACATACAACATACTTGATGTGAATGCATTCAATACCTTATGCATGACTGGTTTTTGCTGTTTCTCCCAGAGCAGGGGAAAGATTTGTAAGATCTCATTACCAAGTGTGATTTGAGATGTGCTATCAAAATGAAGAACAAATAAATAAAGTGAAATATACCTGTGATTTATTTTATTTTTCCCAGGACCATTGATGTTGTTTTTCTGAGTGTTTCCAATTTGATTCTTGGTTGTTTTCAAGGCAGGAGACTCCTGTGTGTCCATGGGCTGTGAGAGTCAGCTCCTTGTCCTTCACCAGATGATTAATGGTGACCCCATCTGCTGGTGCTGAGGAGGGGACAAACCTGCATGGGTGCTATTCTTCTCCTTCAAGATAAACAGCAGAGCTCACATTCTCAGTCTGATGCATAAACACATTTTTATGTGTCTATAGCTTACGTTTATGTTTAAAATCTGGTTTAGCCAGTGAAAGCGCAGGTTCCTTTTTCATTCCTGTTTGCCTTCCTTTCACTTTTTCTGAGCTGTAACCCATTTTCTGTTCCTGCTCTTTCATTTAGGAAAAAACRCTTCAAAGGACTTACAACCCTATTTTTTAAGCCAGCAAGAGTCATACTCCTGCTTGCATTAATTGAATGCATTAAATTGAATGCAATAAAAACAGGCTGGGCCTTAYAGAACATTTTTTTTCCAGTCATGTGTTCTCAGATGTTGTAAAAGCTCTGACAGCGCAGGGCTTGGCAAGGCCAGGGCGGTGCCACCCTCAGCCAAGTGTGCTGTGCCCACATCCCGTGCCTGCCTGTCCCTGTGCCCTGTTTCCCACCTCACACCCTCAAGTGCAGCAGCAGCGAGTGCTCACCCAGGTGTGCCTGACACAGCTGGATCCCAAAATCCTTCTGCATCCCACGTGGCGGGCTGCTCCTTGCCTCACACTTAGAAACCTCTTTGGAGCTGGGCCATGTTTTGTTTKTGTTCATCCTCAGGGGAGACATACGTTTTCTCATGGCTCTTACTTCCAGTTTTTCTGGCACTAATCCAATGGCATTTATTTCTTTTATAAGTGTTGTCTAAGCTGACAGCACATCATTAATATAAGACTAAATTTACTCCTAACAATTATTTATTCAAAATTATTTTTCTACAGCATTTTAAAGAGTTTATCAACTATTCAGCAGGAAGACAGACAAAAGACAACCAAAAAAAGAAACCCTGCAATGGCTCCTTTAAAACTACTTTTACATAAACTATTTCTTAAATTAATTTTCAGACTTAAAATATTGTAGAGAACACTAAATACTCCCATTACAAGTATTTTTTTCTGAAGCAGAATCTCAACAACCCCCAACACTTGCCATCATAAGACAGCCTAGGGGTATAGGAAAGGCAGAATGTGTTTGAAGAAAGAATAAATTTTACATTGAAAGGCCTAAACCAGCCAACAATAATTGCTGTTAAAGAAAATTTCCTCTCCCTCCAGCAMGGTGCCAGGATCAGGGGAGGTGCAGCACAGCCAGTGCCACTGAGAGGTGGGATTCAGGAGGAAATAAAGGAATTCTTCCTGTTAACCCAGTAATTTCATAACAATTCCGGTCCGAGGGTTTTAATTAAAAGACAATAATTTGCAGTGTAGCCAGCAGAGGGAGCRTTTAAAGCAAAATCCGGTGCACCAGTTTGTAAAAGCGCGCTTTAAAGCAGGAAGCGTTATTGTGGGAACTGCACCAAAATATTTGGGGCAGCCCCGCCGTGACTTGTGAATTCATGCACGGACAAGGCAAAAAGTCAYGCCAGTGGGGAATTACTCAGGCTTSTCGCGAAAACAAAAATAYCCCCAAGCCGAACAGCACCTCAGCACCATTCCATGCCGGGGATACCCCATCCCKGGAAATGTTCCAGGYCAGGTTGGACGCGGCTTTGAGAAACCTGGCATGGTGGAAGCTGTCCYCACCCACGGCAGGAGARGATGAGCTTTAAGGTCGCTTCCAAGKCAGCATTCTGTGATTTCCCAGCGTGAATCACCGAGCCCGGGCACGCTGTCAGGGTTTCTCCGGGACCGGCGGGGTGTGTGCGGTGTCCGGGTTCGCTGCTCTGCCCGTGCGTGCCTCCCGTCCGCAGAGCCGAGGGTGCACCAGGGGAACCCTCTCCTCTCTGCCCAGGCTGTGGGACACGCTCCTGGAGGGCTGCATTTCCAGCGCTGTCTCCATTTCACRCACAAACACCGGTCCGTGTCACTGAGGGCTGCGGGAGGCACAGCAGCATCTCCAAAAACCTGCAKAGAGCCGGGAGTGCCGCTGTAAATGGTGCATTTCAAACCCCAAGGGTAACACCGAAGAAGTGTTTCTGCCCCATGCCGTGGCATCTCTGCTCTTATATTGGTGCRTAAGGCAACTCACTGTAAGAAAAAAGCAATTCTTACAGCCCTTGTACACCCTTTTCTTGATGCTGGGAGGAGGAGATGACCTTTCCAAGAGCCCCACTGGCAAAGGAGCCCTGACACTCTGGTTCTGTGGGAGCCAGAGGTGCATGGCATGGCCAGCAGCAGGGTTTGGGTTATTTCAGCTGTCAGGTGAGTTACCTGAGATGTTTTTCACACACAGCCACATTCACGGGCTCCGTGCTGCATCAGCTGCCATCACATCCTCTGCTGCTGTGGGTGATGGAGCCTGCAAAGCCAGAAGAGCTCAGCAAAGCACCACTGCACTTTTGGTGTGGCTGTATCTCTTACAAGGAGTTCTTTCCTCCCCAAAAAGTCCTATCCTGAGGWGCATGCCAAGGCAGGAGTCAGACATGCTGCCTCATTTCCCAGTGCAGCCAGAGAGGCTCAGTGTGACAGGTCAGGGCCTGCACCCAGTGCTGGGGCTCCAAAAAACCCTGCAAAAACAAAAAAAAATCTGCAAAAATTCCCCAAAACCCCCAATTTCCTTATGCATTCCTATTTCTCATGACCAGTTCCTCTGCACAAGTGAAGCAGAGCTTCCCAGCCTTTCCAAATGCCACACCATTACATTGCAAATCCTGTTTTTGGTGGTCTGTGAGGACAGTCAGGGAAGATGCCACGTGTCATTTCACAGCAATGCATTGGGGCTGGATTTGAGCACAAAGAACCAACTGCTTCATCCAGGTCCKGTGTGATCTGCTAAAATACCAGGTGATTAATCAGAGATCAGAYATTGTACATTTGTATTTCATGTTAAACCCCAGAGTGGTGGCCTATGGACAGGACATCTGGAATGAAAGGAGCCTCTTTGGGCACAGACACTGATTTAATTGGGTGCTGGCCAGCTCCACAGTAGAATTATGAAAATCAAAGGCAAAGCTACAAATGTGATAAAGGCCTATCACTGTCAGGGATGTGGTGAAGCTGGTGAAACAGAAGGTTTTTAAGCACACTCTCAGAAAATGCTTACTGTAAATTATATTTGTGTATATGTGTCTATATATAACACATATATAGATATAAAGTGACATAGCACAAACCTAGAACCACTTCATTAAGGATTGTAGGCTGGCTCTAGGTTTATAATGGTCCTTTTAGTCAGGCTAAAATGACAACATTAGCATTAATTTGGGCTCAGGCCTTTTATTTTCATAGGTGTCATCAYCTTGATCTCTTGGGCTGGGGCTCTTCTCACCTGACCGAGTTCCCAAGGGAGTGTCTGAGTTTAGGCAAGCTCTAACCCAGTGTGCTGACCTGTCACCTTGAGGCAGATCCATCCACTCACTCCATCAGCCACTCCTGCAATCTCTCTGTGCCTTCCCTTCAAAATGCAAATCCCAGTTCCAATTTACTCCTCAGTGTCACTTTGAAATGCAACTTTGGCTTGAGTAGAGTTGTTTATTTTTATCGTGTCACCTCTCCCGTGCCTGCCCAGACCAGTAATTCTGAGCTGTAAAAAGCCGTTTACAGTTTGCATGTCAACACGGCTGGGTGCTCTTCCCCCTAAAACTTCCTCCACGGGCTTGTTTGCTATCCTGCAGTCAGTTAAGGGCAGCAGGGTAACTCAGCACCTCTGTCTCACTCACTGCTCTCCCAAACATCCAAGCAACTCACCTTGACCCAGACTCAGTTTTCTGAGCTGGAGCTGCAAGCAAAACCAACTATCTTTCTGCTTCCAAATCAATCAGGGCACAGGAATCGTTAAAAGATAGTCTGTGCCAGGATCCGTAACGAAATTCTGAAGTCATTTATTTTCCAGATGAATAACAAGTTAAAGCAGAAGGTGATTTACCTGTTAATACTTCACCCTTTCCCGAGGGGCTGTCTCAGGAGCCAGGGGATCTTTACTGAGTGGGAAGGAGGACACTGGGTTCGGGGAAGGGAAAGTTTAGAAAGCAGCCAAGCCAGCAAAGGCTGGAGATCAGCTGGGTTAAACTTTTGTGCCTCCAGTGGGGCTGGGGCGGCTGTTTGCTCCAGGTGGGGCAGGGGAATTCCACCCCCCTGTCACTGCTTCCCCAGCGCCTGGACACGGGCCAGCCCTTCATAAACTGCCCAGCCCAAACAATGGTGGCGTTTCCTCGTTTAAACTTGCAGGAAGAGATTGTGAATTTCATCGAAGGAGCTGTTTTGGTGGCCTGGAGAGCTCCTTTTCTGGAGCAGCCAGAGGCTGGGATTCACAGCCCAATGCTCGGCCACAGGGCTGGCACTCACACCATCCAAATTCTGCCTCCTGTGCAGCCATTGCAGAATCCCCAGGTCACCCAGAGTCAGCAGTGTTTGTTCAGGATTGTAGGACACAAACAGCCCAGCAGACCCCGGGCTGGCACCAGGGCTGCCACCTGCCCTAAGTGAGAATCTTTCCTCTTTCCTTCCTTGACAATGCTCCTACAACACCAAGCTGCTGCAGGCTTGGAGCATGGAGAGTCCCCTGAAAAATCCTATAATCCTCACAGCTGAGRAGACTTAGCTATTCAGTAAGGAGGAAATTCAGCGACTGACATATTGTCATTTTAGGACCTTGACTACAGTCTGCTGAGTCCAACAGAKAGTCTGACACTGTGTGAGGAGCTCTGGGCCCATGGCTGAGGCAGAGGGAGCCCCAAGAGCCCAGCAGAGGAGCCTCTGCCCCAGCCAGGGGAGTCTGGCAGCATCTCTCAGCATCTCTCAGGCCGTGTCAGTGAGTAGGGGTACAACCAACTCAGATTAGAAAACTTTTGCCCACATTATTTGCAGCTGCTTCTTCTGATGTGCTGGTG